GTAAAGTATAAACCTACCACCCATCTGTCAGCTTGTTATATTGTGATGACTTGTGTGTTGCTGTGATGCTGGAAGCTATGCCACAGTATTTCAAATACCATCAAGGTCATCCAAGGTGGTCAGGATTCAGTGTAGCTTTCAGACTACGATATACTAGAATGAAAATCCTTGTGTGGTCTAGTTCCCAAAATTAGCTAATGAGAATGGATCACAGAAGAATGTTGTCTGATACAGTGCTGAAAGATGAATCCCCTAGGTTAGAAGACATTCACAATACAAAATGGTTTCAAAATTGACTAATGTATGCCTGCCCAGGACTGGGTGACATTTTGTTCTGTTGTACATGGGGTCACCATGTGTTGGAGCTAACTCTCGGACAACTAACAACAGTAAGGAAGTATAAAATATTACAGTATGCATGGAGGGGATTGGAACCATGGCAGTGAGATGATATACGATGGAATAAATATAAAACTAAAGTTCTCTCATGTTAAAAAAAAAAAAAATTACAGTAAACACCTGTATATCAACCACTCCATTTGAGGAAAAGAGCCTTACCACAGAGGTCCCTTTGTGCTTCTCCCCAATCCTATCCTATTCCCTCCTTCCTCAGAAGTAACTAAGTGTAATTACCAGCCTGGACATTGTATTTAGTTCTCTTCCTTCCCTTTATAATTTTACCAAGTATGTTTGCACTCCTAAAAAATATAATGTTAGGTTTCTCATATCTTTTGTCTTCAGACCAAGAAAAGCATACTGTATGTATTAATCTGATTTATTCTTTGCGCTCAATATTATGTTTTGGGATTTGTCCATAATAATGCATATAGCTGTGGATCATTAATTTCTTCATCTGTATTGTATTCTAAGGTATGAAAATATAATTTATTTAGCCTTTCTTCTTTAGCTATATCCCACAAATCTGATATGTAGCAATTTCATTATTATACAGTATTTTTCTAAATACTGTTTGAAGTGTTTTAATATATAAATTATTATTTCTTATTTGACTTGAGTTATTCAGAAGTAGGTTTTTTTTTTTTTTTAATTGTCCAAGTTTATGGACACTGTTTTTTTTTAAATCTTTGTTAGTGACATTTCTTTTTTGAATTGGGATTATTTCAGTGCTATTCAGTAGAAATATAACAAAAGCCACATATATAATTTTTAATTTTTCAGTTGCCACATTGTTGTTGTTGTTGTTAAGTGTCATCGAATCGGTTCTGACCCATAGCAACCCTGTATGGGGTTTCCGAAGAGCAGCTGGTGAGCTTGAACCACTGACTATGTGGCTTAAACTGACTTTGCAGTCCAGTGCATTAACCAACAATGCCACACCAGGACTCCAGTTGCCACATTAGAAAAGTAAAATAGGTGAAATCAGTCTTAATTATATATTTTATTTAGCCCAACATATCAAAACTACTGTCACTTAAATAAAGGTGCTCTGGTAGTGTAGTGGTTATGAATTGGGCTTCTAATCTCAAGGTTGGCAGTTCGAAACTACCAGGTGCTCCGCAGAAGAAAGAGGAGGCTTTCTGCTCCCGTAAAGATTTTCAGCTGCAAAAACCCTGTGCAGGGTCACTATGAGTTGGAACCGACTCCATGGTACTTAACAACAACAACAAATATGTAATAATCTTAAAAATTAACACAGATATTTTACATTTTTTACAGCACTTTGTACTGTTACAAAACTTCAATGTGTGTCTACACTTGCAGCATATCTCAGTTCTCACTAGGCACGCTGCAAGTGCTCACTAGCCACATGTGGCTAATGGTTGTTTTGGACCACGTAGGCTTGTAGTAATAACACTTGTTTGGAATTTATTGAAACTTATTTTCTGGCATTATATGTGGTCAACTCCATATAAGTTGTAAAATAATTATGTACTTAATACTAATTGAGTACCAGGTTTAAGCTCATTATATTATTTGCATTGTTTAAATCTTCTATATGTTTACTATATTGTTTGTCTCCTTGGCACTAGGAGTGCTATGCTGCACAGCTATAGGAAGGCCATTCACATAGAAGCCTGAAGTTTTATACTGATTTCTCTAATGGAATATTCTATTTCTTTCCTGTTAGTGGTTAATCTTGAAATTTTACCATGTTTACATCTCCACGGCCATATGTGGTAAGCAGGAAGTATGAATTCAGGATATAAACTTGCATGAGGGCAATTTGTGTTTATAATTCCTTGTGGAAAATAATTTTCTCCCCTACCAAGGACCAGAATTCAAAGCAAGCAGTTGCCTTTTTTGTCCCCTGAGAAGAGGTATCATTGTATATGACACATACCGAGTGTGTAGCTCTTTGAAGTTCAATGTTATGCAGGTGAGTTTCCTGGCTCCTATGCCCTTCATGACTATGAAATTTAACAAATTCACCAGATATGGAAAGTTCCATCAAGGTGAGAGATAACTTAAAAGCTCTACTTATTTGGAGAATTCTTGCTTTCACATCAGTTTGCTGTTGTTGAACTTTTCATTTGGAATAAATTTGAATTTACAGAAAAGTTACACAGATAGTTTATATAACTCCCTTTAACCCATATTTGATGTTCACAGTACATTTGTCAAAACTATAAAATTAACACTGATATAATTAGCCTACAGATTTTATTCAGATTTCACCAATATTTCCACTGATGTGTATTTTACGTTTTTCAGTTTTGTTTCCTGCATATCTCTCACTTTTTGCCCTGTTCACTGATGAGTTTATTATTTTTTCTTTATATTTTAATCAAACTTCTAGTTACTTTCAATAGGAAACTTGTCAGGGCCTCTAGTCTCTAAAAACATACATAGAGTTTTTGTGTGTGAAGGGGAAGTATAGGGAGTTTTGTTTTGTTTTTTCTCAAATAACATTCATAATCTGGGTTACCAAACCAATGTGTCTTTTTATGTTTATGTCTGTAAATTTTTCTAGCCTATAAATGTAGGAACTTCTTATGGGAAAAAGTTTGATAATTATGAGTAAGATTAGACTGGGGATCAAGAGATAGATTCAGAAGTTATTTATGAAGATAATTTAAGTGGGAGGTAGAACCAAGAACATTAACAAAGCTGTTGGTAGTGAAAAAGAAAGGGAGGAAATAGTATGTGTGTGTATAAATTATATCATATTGATATTATATAGAAGGATGTATTGTTGTTGTTGTTGAGTACCATCGGTTCTGACTCATAGCGACCCTGTATAGGGTTTCTGAAGAGCAGCTGGTGGGTTTGAACTGCCGACCTTATGGCTCAAACTGCCTTCATGGTCCAGTGCTTATTCTCCATCTGCACACACTCCAGGAGGATAGAGAAGAAGCTGTTATGAAATGCTTGTGTTAGAACAGGAAGAAGGAGTCATATTACCCCAACAGGACCTGTTGATACATTTCAAAAGTCAGGAGGAAAAGTAAGACTGAAAGGGATGATGGTTAAACTGGTCTTTTGATGTATGGAATCTGAGATGATGATGGATAGCTAGGCAGTTGTACATGAAAGTTGGCCGTTTGAGAGAAGGAGTCAAAAATAAAAGGTGATGAAGACAGTGATGAAGGAAAACAAATGCATTAGAAAGAGATGCAATAAGAAGGAATCACCTCTATAGAACTGAAGAGCCATGAAGAAGGAAGGAACTCTGATCAACAAGCCATGTTCTGGAGCTCTGGTAGCATAGTGGTTATGACTCAGGCTGCTAACCTCAAGGTCATCAGTTCAAAACTACCAGCAGTTCCGTGGGAGAAAGATGAGGTGTTCTGCTCCTGTAAAGATTTACAGTTTTGGAAACCCTGTGCAGGGTCACTATGAGTTGGAACTGACTTCATGGTACTTAACAACAACAACAACAACAACAACAACAGTCCTGGTGTGGTGCTGGAGGATAAGCTGGCCTGCTAATTGCAGGTTGGCAGTTCAAACTCTCCAGCCGATCCTTAGAAACCCTATACAGGGTCACTATGAGTAGGAGCTGACTCATTGGCACTTAACAAGAGAGCTACTCAAAGTCTAAATTTTATTTATTCTCAAAGTCTTCATTTTAGTATCTGTGGAATTTTCTCATGAATCTCCCAAACTTATTTCTGCCCAGAGGTCCACAAACTGAGCATTAAGATCCTTTATGTGCATTGAAATGCTGAAGTGTTTTTTTAAATAATGTCTAATGTTTTATACTATACCATATCCCTGACATTTGATTTTGTTCTTATCAATATTTGAGTTAAGTCAAAGAGAAATCCAACAGAAACTGCTAACATTTTTTTAATTTGAGGCATATGCCAACATATTTTTCTCTTTGAAGAAACAAAAAACACTTGTCTGTTGTTAGAATTTAGTTATCAACTTTTGAACCACAACTTACCTTATCCTATTTGTGACTCCAAGTGTGTTGTTACTGTTTTATGCAAAAATGATCATGTATAACTTGCTAAGCAAAAATGTAGCAATTTATACAGCCCTGGGCTGGCATTGCAGGATAATGCACTGGATCGCAAGGTCAGTTTGAACCTCAAGGTTGGCAATTCAACCGCACCAGCAGCTCTTTGGAAAGCCTATACAGGGTTGTGATGAGTTGGAACTGACTCAATGGCACTTAACAACAACAAATAAAAATTTAGCCTGAGTATCTACTGACCTTGTATATGTTGTTGTTGTTGTTGTTAAGTGCTGTTGAGGCGGTTCTGACTCATAGAGACCTTGCACAGGGTTTCTGAGGCTGTAAATCTTTACGGGAGCAGAAAGCCTCATCTTTTTCCCATGGAACAGCTGGTAGTTTCGAACTGCTGACCTTAAGATTAGCAACCCAATTCGTAACCACTACGTTACCAGAGCTCCTTGTATATGGTGTTTGTAAATTTCTGTTAACAGTTAATCCGGTATCTAGTAGCAGTTTATATGTTGCTACCAAAAATAAACAGACTGCCTTATAAGACAATATTTTCTGAGTCAGGAATTGCAACTTGAGTGTTAGGAGTGAGTCCTGACTCATTTGTTGGATTTATGGTTTTCAGAGAGTTGATGCTGATTTCACATCAGAAAAGCATCGAGCAGCTGCAGGAAAGCCATAGCCAGAAACTGCTGAGTGATGAGAACTGGAGGGAGAAGGTAACAATGGCTCGTGTCAGCATGGATTCCCCATGCTTTCTGTGATTCTGTCCATTTGCTAGAAGACTCTATCCGAGTTAGATTTCTTTGCTCTTGTGGTGCACTCTTTTGGTTCCTTTTGAAACTCCTACACCAAACATGCTTATGCTGTGTGTCTTTTCTAAAATGTTAGACAACATAATGGAAAATAAAAAGTTCAAAATTGACTCTGAAATCTTGTCAGTTAAAATAGCCCTTAGTTTTCATGTAAGAGCATCATTTTTTACTTTTAAACATTTAATATGTTCTCGTAAGTGGCAGAGTCTGCATTTGTCCATGTTCTTAAAAGCAGGGATATATTCATTCTGCAATTTTTCTATTTTATGAAGATACTGTAAGAGATTGGAAAATGACTGAAAATTGTCTAGTTATGAATGTTTGACATATTGATCATGGCAAAGTAGAATGAATACAATTGCTTTCTGGATATAATTTATAAAGAAAATATTCACTCCAAGTACACAAATCTGCATTAATATTGTGTCTTTGAGCTCTTCTAGATTTTAGAAGCATTCAACAGCGAATGCATATTACTTTAATAATTTAAAAAATATATAATTAAGGGTATTTTTCAAGTATATTAGTTCTTTCATTCCCAGACATGAGTGGCAGTAGTCACTGGGGTCAAGGCTGTCATCTCCCTGCAATAACCTTCTAGTACTTCTAGTACTTCCAGATTGATCCCTGCACCCTGCACTACGCCAAAGCCTTACTCAACCCCTTCTCTTCCCCAACCTGCATCTACTCTGAACATAGCCATCTGTCTTGGTTTTCTTATTTTGTCTTAAATTTGCCTCTAAAACTGGACCTATCCACTGAGACTCAGATTGTTTGACTGAAGTCCGGACAACTAAGCCACAAACTTACGCTTCCATTTAAACTAACATCTCTACCCCCCAAAATACCCCATTCTTCCCCTACTATATTGAAATCATTTAAGATACTGTTGGCTCAGGTTAAGGCTAAATATGACACTTTTATTTTCAGACTTTAAATACTTGGCCATTCTTAGCCAATACAGTTGTTGTGGTTGTTAAGTGCCATAGAGTAGGTTCAGACTCATCACAACCCTATATAGGGTTTCTAAGGAGCAGCTGGTGGGTTTGAACTATGTACCTTGTGGTTTGAAGTCCAGTACTGATCCTACTGTGCCACACCAGAAGTCCTAATCCATTATAAATTCTTCTTCCTTTGTTCCTCAAGATTCAGATTCAGGCTGTATCAAAAATGATCACTATAATAACAATTCCATATGGACAAAAATTAAAATGTGAGAAGATGGACTATCATTGCTACAAGCATCTCATTCTTCGTTTTGTTTTATAGCGCAGACTGTCTCCTTACTTTTTCTTTCAAGTTCACACTTCCTTTCACCTTCTGAATTTGTTAGCCTCAATCGCTATACTTAATTGACTGGTTTGCTCTCATTCATTTCTCCCAGCCTTACTAATTAAATGTTTGAAAATTCAAAAAGAGATGGACTATTCAGCCTACTTAGGAATCAAAAAATAAATAAATAAAATGGAAACAATGAGAGATTATTTTTCTACTCATCCAATTGATAGAAAGGTTTTTGCACTGTGATGAAGTGAGGTGGTCTCTTGCTCATAGTTACTCTTTGGTGGTGGTGGTGGTGGTGGTTGTGTGCCATAGAGTAGGTTTCAACTATCAGTGACCCGGGTATAGGATTTCTGAGGATGTAAATCTTTACAGAAGCAGAAAACCTCATCTTTCTCCCAGGGAGCAGCTGATAGATTCGAACTGCTGACCTTGCAGTTTGCAGCCCAGCTCGTAACCCACTATGCTACCAGGGCTTCACAGTTACTCTTTGTTGTTGTTAGGTGCCATTGAGTCGGTTCCAACTAATTGTGCAACTTATGCGCAATAGAGCAAAACACTGCCAGGTCCTGTGCCATCTTCACAGGTGTTGTTAAGCTTGAGACCATTGTTGTTACCACTATGCCAATCCATCTCATTGGAAGTCTTCCTCTTTTTGGCTGACCCTCCACTTTACCTAACATAATGTCCTTCTTCAGGGACTGGTCCCTCCTGATAATTTGTCCAAAGTATGAGAGAGGAAGTCTTGCCATCCTGGCCTCTAAGGAGCATTCTGTCTGTACTTCTTCCAACACAGATTTGTCTGTTCCTCTAGTTGTTATTGTTAAGTGCCGTTGAGTCAGTTCTGATTCATAGCCACCCTGTATAAAATTTCCAAGGAGCGGCTGGTGAGTTTGAACCACCAACCTTCTGGTTTACATCCGGCTCGCAGTCCAGTGCTTATCTTATCTGAGATAAGCTGGTGGGTTGGAACAGCCAAGTCTGGTGCTGTAGGATGAGCACTCGATGAGTCTGGTCTGGTGCTGTAGGATGAGCACTCGACTGCAAGGTCGGTTTGAACCTCAAGGTCAGTGGTTCAAACTCACCAGCCCCTCCTCAGAAACCCTATACAGGGTCGCTATGGGTGAGAACCAACTTGACCATACTACAAGGACTCCATTCTTACATTGTTGTTGTTGTTAAATACCATGGAGTCAGTTCCGACTCATAGTGATCCTGCACAGGGTTTCCGAGGCTGTAAGTCTTTATGGGAGCAGAATGCCTCAGCTTTCTCCTGTGGAACCGCTGGTAGTTTCAAACTGCTGACTTGTAACCACTATGCTACCAGAGCTCCTTATTCTTATATTAGTCCATGGTATTTTCAATATTCTTCCCCAGCACCGTATTGTTACTCTTTAAGGGATTTGCAAATTAAAGCAACCTTTTGGAGAGGATTTTCACAATGTGTATCAAAAGATACTGTAAATTTCCCATCTCATGGCTCTGAAAATTCATCATTGAAATTAATATGAACAAAAACTGATGGATCCTTTCTTTCTTCAAACCTTGAAGTACTTTCTCTTAGATTAACAGAGTGACCTTTCCTGTCTTTGCTTGTGTAGAAGTTCTTCATCTTTACATTCACATCCCAGTAGAGGTTTTCAGAGACATTTGACTGAAGAGGTCTCTTTGTCTATGAGCCATTCTAGTACTCCTACTCACTGTATCCTGTTCCTGAGATGCTGACTTAAGTGAAAAGAGTATTAGTGTTAACGTTTGTCCATATGAAAGTATTATGTTCTTGCTGCATGGTGTTAAACTAATTTGGCTTTATGCTGTGAAGCTCATTTGTAGTAAAAATCAACTGATATAAGATTCTCTAAGTTTTAAGACCCTGATATTTTCCAAACAAATTAATTGTTTCACAGATGTATTTTCAGATATTATTTTCTGTAGTATAAATGGACATTTCATTGTATTGAGAGGACATGACTTCTTATTAATACATGGTATCATTTAGCTTAACAGTAAATCAAGATCCAGTCAGATAAAGCCAAGGAATGATAATTATGTCTTGGCTGTGTTAGCTATTGAGATCATGAATAAAAAGTTCCCTAAAAGTCTTCTCATGAAAAAGGAGAATCGCTAATATGACATTGTCATCTCTTTGTTGGGTCACTGTGCCTTTGCGTAGGAATGAAATGTTCCCTTTACAAATATATAATACACGTATTAGAATAAACTTTATAACTTAAATGCTTTTAACGGTCAAGAAAAATAGATAGCAATTTATGCCTGTGTTTAATTATTTTAGAGTATGTAAAAGGGACATAATAGGATCAATAGTTGCTATGCAACAAGGATGGTACATTTTTAAATAACTGTGTATTTACTAATTGTCATGAATTTTTGTTTATTTCGAGTATCACTTTGATGTGAAGAAAGTAAATTAATGTGCATGCTGAACATTTAAAATTGGTTCCAGATCCACATTGTTAACTACTACTCAGTTCATCATACTTTGTAATTAAATCTCTTAGAACTAAACTGCTAATGTAATCAACTCACATCACCTATTGCCTATCATTTTTTTAGTTCAATAAACAAATTCTAAAATAGATATTACCAAAATAGCACATTTGAGAACATTTTAGAATTGTACTATTGATCTCTTTTTAAATAATGCGTTGAGCTTTTAAGCACTAATAACTGAAACAAACAGAACCTTACTTCCTGCTTGAAGCAATTAGATTTACAGTAGAAATAAGAAAAGGGGCAGCTCAAGAAATAACCAATTCCAGAGTTGAAGGAAGGCAAACAAAAATCTCAAGTTATTTTTTTAGAAAACAGAAGAGCCAAATGGCTTAATAATTCTAAATAATAATGTATTTCAGGTGACTATTAATCAGATTTAAGTGAATAACTATAAAATATAAAATTTGACAGAGTTGAAGTAATTATTTTCAAAATATCAATTTCCAATTAAGCACAATAAATAGTCTACAGAGATATCTGACTTGACTCCTTACTCTGAGTAACAAACATATCCTTATTACTAGAGGGTTTACTGTATGGCAGGCTTTGTGTTGACTGGTTTCCATAACTATAATTTTAATTACTTTAATATGACTATTCCCATTTCTCACATGAAACAATTAAAATGGATCAGAGAAATGAGATCATATAGCCAGGAAATTACCGAGCTGAGAATTAACATGCATATATCTAAATACAAAGTTCAACACGTGGGCATCAAGTCACGATAGAGTAGCAAGGCTCAGCTTTACACTCGTACACTCAACAGCTACAACACTGGAGAAAAGGTATGAAAGAATGATTACAAGATAATGGCTATCAAGCAACAAATGACAGTGATTCTTGGAGACAGGCAACAAAGATGAGTCTTATCATCCCCCCAACATTATACCTTTAAAGAAATTCCAGGCCAGGGTTCAGGTGACACAAGGCAGATTCCCTAAAGTGAGGAGACATTGAAAATATGAGTGTCTAGAGTTTGCAGTATAGTGTACCAGAGAAGGGGGAAACTTGCACAGAGAAAGAACTCTGGAAAAAGAGAGTCCCCTTGAGTATGTGTATGTTAAGTATGTACATGTGGGGGAAACTACCCAAAATTGGGGAAAGAA